GTTCAAAGTATTCAGGCTTTGGTGTGATATGTTATGCTGACTACAGAAACAGTGAAGTTATTATAACTGAAGATAAGGCAACTGAGAGGAGTAAATTTGATTCATGCTATAAATCTGGACTTTTCTGCAAGCATCAGTGATTTAATAGACACTAGGAGAAAAAAGCAAAAACTCTGTCCAACATTCAAGAACATCACTGCTTCAAAGATGAAAAGTGAGCACATATAGGGTCCCATGGCAAAACTGGGGAAAGAGAAAAAAAAAAAACTCTAAGAGAAGTCATACAAAAGCCAAACTAAATGAAACTCCAATTCTCCACTACAAGTTAATCAGCAAAGTAGTTTAAAAGAAACAAACAATCTCAATTTTAAGAAGAGAATTTAACAGTATTTTTCCTACGTGAAATCAGAATTTAAAATCAGGTTTTAAAGTTCTAAAACCTCTCCTGAGGTTTTAGAAGCATGCTGATACAATGGGTGTTCTTCTCTTTACTTATTAAGGCTTAATTTAAAGGGTCAAATTTTAAAATAATTGTACCTGCTATGTTAAATACAATAAAGCATGCCTTCCACCAAGAAGGACACTTTCTGTATGCTCTTATCAAAACCATGTGCCTGTGTAAACCCACTTCAGACTACCATTTGAACCCAGAGGTGGCATTAGCCCTGTATCTGGGAAAACACACACATAAAATACTTTTATATTACACAATGTTAAAATAAGACTCATTGGACTAAATTAATACACAAAAAAACTGAAGTCAAATTTGCTAAAGGAGGAAATTTCACTTTAAGTACTGAACAATTAACCCTTGAAACAACGTTAAAGTGGGAAGACTCCTTAGATCATGCCAGGACACCTTTCTGGGATGCAAAACATCAGTTCAGATGAAAAACTGAACTGTCAGACCTTAGGCCTGACAGAAAGGTAAAGTTCCTCAAAATATTATCCCACTATTGGCAGTCAATTGTTTAATGACTGAAGGCAAAATCTGTAGTCAGACCATGGTGCCTATGGCCATTGTGAAACTAAAGTAGAACATAATGAAAACATTAATACACATCACAAGAAATGACCCAGCAGAAATATAACTTAAGATCTGAAACACTGACATGCCCAATACAAATTAAAAAAAAAAAAAAAAAGTAGGTATAGTGAAGGATCAGGCTGCAAGTTCATAACTTGCAAATGTACTTAAAAGCAACTCCTCACATTCCGAATACACTGGAACTGTTAAACACACAGACGCAACTATGTTATTCCCAGATCATTATTTAATGGCGCACTTTAAAGTTTGATGATTGATCCGCAAAACATCTTGTTCTACATTACCTTGACTGTTTTGTCCATAGAAGCAGAGAGAAGCATGTGACTTTGTTCCCGTACAGGACACCACTGGATTTCATTGACAGGGCCACTGTGTTTAGACATGAATATTAAGCTTTTGGGGACTTCAGTTAATTTATATTTGGATCCCAAATATGGCTTAATTAATTCAGAGATCTTTCTCAAAGTCTGCTCTCTTGATATGCCTAGCTTAACATTGCAATCTGAGTTTTCTCTCTGATCACATTCTTTTTTCTCAGGCATACTGGAATTTTCTTGACGCAACCTTTTAGGGATATACGGTCTAATCCCTTTTATGGCAGTAGTACTGTCTTTATGTATTCTCTTGTGGGAAACACCATTTCCAGAGTTTGTTGAAGAGCTTGATGCTTGTTCATAGTTTTTGTAGGACATACATAATGCAGTATGGCCAGAGTATGCTCTCTTACAATAAGGAGATGTCAAATCCGCGTTGTTATTCTGTACATAATGCTCAGAGGCATCTTCACAAGCAGTGCTTGTGCCAGAACAGTCCATGTTCCCAGTAGGCTGCATTTCATATGTAGATTTTGTACCCAAACTACCAGGTGCAAAGTACTGAACACAATTCACAGAAGAACTTGGCTGGCTTGCTTGTTTGATGGAAGTATTGGGGACTTCAGTGTTTTCAGTTTCTGTCTCAGAGTCTGAATCATCGTAAGCAACCAGTGACAAACTCATTATGGCTAGACACAGCAGACTCCAGAAATCTCTGTGCTGGAATCCTCCAAAAATGTGATCTAAAATAAAGAATCAATTATTCAGAGCAAAATCTATTAGTCTGCAACTTGAGTAACGTAAGGATATAAATATGCTTTCTTTCACAGAAAAACCTGTAACTTTTATTACTCTTTATTAATGGAATTTATTCCTCTATTATAACACATGTGCACATTCAATTATGCACCACCATTTGCCTCCAAGCACTTTACATACATTTTTAATGCACTGCAGAGATGCATTTGCATACCATAAAACAATGAAAATGAGTATGAAAAGGAAAACAAACTTGCAAAATAAGTACTGCAAATCACTTTCACCTTACTTGCAGCAGCACTTCCTCTCATACGTAGAAAAAAAGATGGTAATTAATTATGCAGTGTTTTGGTGTGTACATTTCAAATAATACAAATACTACAACTATTTTGGAGTCGGTCTAACAATATATATTTCTTAACAGGGCAGATGACTTGAAAGAAGTATGAAGGGGTTCAACTGGCAACTAAAAAAGTAAACGTGTTTTTGACCCTATGATTCTACAACCCATTCAGCAGTCTTCCAGTGTGAGGAAATTCTCCAAATGTATACACACAGCAAGGTCAGCACAGCCTTTATTCTTACAGGATGGAATTATGACAGAAACTATGCTGAATTTGCTGTTTGCATTTACTTACAGAAAAATAAGAGCATAGATGCTTGTTTACTGTGGAATAAATTTTTCCAAAGTGTCTGTGAATTAGAAATCTCATACAGAGACAGTGTATGTAACATGTTGAATAACTCACCACCATAACAATCCCACCAAGCTTCTGCTAATAATTTGGATGAAGCATGTGGACTATAGGGTTAACTACATTCAAATAATTCATGTGTCTGCAGAAATAATCTTTCACATTCTGCTGTTTATAGTCAAGAAGTATTGCTAACTTTCAGTTGCTAAGATTGAATAAATGGGACATTTCATTTCTGCTTTGTTTCCTTGCCCAGCTGTTAGCACTCATTATGCTAAAGTGATTTAACCCACACCACTTTGAGATCAGCTGCTGAAATTTTTAGTTTAGGTCAACATATAAACTGTCCTTAAAAGCATCTTGATTAAAATGAGAATGCTGTATGAAAGTCAGTATCTACGTAAGCATCTGCAGAACTGATGCCACAAATGTAGGTCCTCCAAATACTACTCCAGGAGTAGTACTACTCTGGAATTTGTAAAGATTACTCACTGAACTTCAGAATTAGATCTATTTGAATTAAAACAAGAATGCTTCACTTAATCTACAGAAGTGTTACATTACTGGCTATGGTCTAAATTCTGTAATGAAATTCCAAGCACAAACGTGGAAGACAGGTTCCTATGAACCTCATAACAGATCTTTCCAAGATAAGTGATCAAGAGTCTAACTGGAACAAGGTGACCAACATTTTGGCACATAAAAGCATCAAGGTCTCCCTCTAGAGGACATTTTGTCTGTATCTGAAGTTTATGACAGCTGAAAGTGAGAGCAACTAAGAGCAAGGAAAAGTTCTTTTTCTAATAATACAACTTCCTTTATTAAACCAGCATCTCACTTAAACAGCGTAAAGGAAAAAAATAAGTAGTGATTCAGGAAAACTTAAATAATAATTCAAAAACAGTAAATTGAAGACTAGTAGTAAATTGAAATTTCTCAGCAAATCAATAGTAACTTTGAAGGACTCCAATAATTGAAACAAGTAGTTACTATTTGTATTGCAGTGCTGGAAACAGGATGCAGGCAAAAAGCATCGTGTTTAAGGAAAAAATAGAGTAAGAAGCTGACCTCTGGCTGAAAGCTATAAATGAAGATACACAACTGGATTGGGTTGGACTTTCAAAGTTACTGGAGTTTGGTTTAACACCAAGAAAAACCCTAAGCTGAGATTCAGAGAGGGTGTCTTGCACATGCAAGGTTAAAAAAGTTTCCTATGACATACTGGAATGAAGCTGTCCCATTACGTTTGGTTAGTAACGGGTCAGGTAACTCCTTCCCCTCACACACATCACTCATAAGCATTAGTATTTTTGTAACAACACCACAACTCTGCCATCTTAAGATTTCCCATTCAACATCTGCTTCTAAAGAAACACCACCCCAAAGTTTATCATAGTGCCCCAACTAAAGAAAAACACAGGGGAAAAAAGGCAGAATGTACTTCACTGGAAACATACTGTAAGTAGACCGAATTTATTAACAAGAATTACAATGCACTGAGCTAACAAGGAAGTTTATGAAGTTTCGGTTGTCTTTTTCCCATGGCCGATTTATCCGAACGCATTAAATGAAAGAGCGTTAGGCTTGCACGCACAACGCCACACACCAGCTAAGAAACCACGAAAGTCACTCTAGATACGACATAAGAGGTAGGAGCAGCACTGCCAGCCGCTCACGGCGGGATTAACTCGCACCCCGGCCGGACAGCCCCGAGTCCTCTCCAAGAGCTTCCTCGCTCCCGCCGCCCCACAGCCCCGAGGCGGGGAGAACGACCCCCAACCCAAAGCCCGAACTGCCCCGCCCGCAGGAGCAGTACACCGGTCTCCAGGGCACCCCGACCCCGTTTCCTTCCCGTCTCTCCCGGCACGAGAACCGTTGTCGCTCCCTCCACTCATACGCACTGTGCACCCACCGGCCGAGGCCACTAGTGCGGCCACCTCTACCGCTGTCCCTCCGCAGAGCCCGGCATCGTGCCCAGGGCCGCCCCGCTCCACCCTACGGGTACCTACACCGTACCGGCCGCTTAGGCCGCAACTCACCAACCAGCCTACAGAGGCTCCGTGTTTAAAAGCTCGCCGGGTGGAAACAAGGCGTTCCGTGCAAACCGTTCCACGTGTAACAGTTTTTGACTAGGGGCCGCTTCTTGGGAAGAGCAGGGGTTAGTTTGCGGTTGTCTGTGCGTATAAGAGCTCTTCTACCACCGTTGTGGGCGATGTAGAGGAGGGTCGTTTAGTTGGTGACTCTAGAAAGTAGAAAGACAGTGGGAAGCAATGGTTCCGCGGGCATGCGTTTCCCAGCCGGGAGGGGTGAGTGCAGCACCGGTGGGGGGTGATGCAATGGCAGTGACCGGGGAGAGTTGAGTTGAGTGGAGTCGGGTCTGGCTGTGCTCCGGCGGGAGGTGAGCGCAGGGCCAGGCCTGGGGCGGTAGAGGGGCTCTCGGGGCGGTTATTGCGGCCTCGTGGCCAATACGGTGTGCTGGGAGCGAGATTCTCTGCTGGGCACCTTCTCTCCGCGGCACGTCAGTATGCTTGAGGGGTCTTTCCTGCGCTCCCTGCGTGGTCGCAGCCCCCGTGGCTACGTCTCCGGTGCGGCAGTAGAAAAAGCCCTTTTCCCTGGCGAGCGACGGGGAACGGGGTTTCTGGTCACTGGAAAATGCGGCCCAGCCCAAGCAGGCGGGGACCTTTGCTTTGGCCGGGCAGGCGTGTGTGGTAGAGAAGGGTTGGCAGGTTAGAAACATTAGCTTGCTGGTTAATGTCATGCATGACCATCCCTGCACAAGAACTTAGCTGTTAACAGTTGTGGGGTAGTAGAGATTCATATTGGACTTTCTAAAGATTAGAGTGGTTGGCCATATTATCATCTCAGGAAATCGCCTTGCACACTTTAGTGTTTTCATACAGAAGTTGATGATTGCCATGGCTGGGAAGGTAGGGCTACTATAAAATGCAGCCTGTTTTGGAGTACTTAAGGTATATTTCTCACACCTGTGTGCATACTAGCTGCTTTAATTTCACTTTTCATTTTTTATTTCCAGGAGGCAGAACAGTTTTCGGGAACATAAGTGCTGTCAGACTTAAATTTGCATTCTTTCATTCATCATGAAAACCTTTTCAGGACTTCTGTATTGCTGTTCTCTTTCATGAAATGTTTGTCATGAAAAAGCTTTTCTTAGCATAACGTGAAGCCCTGTTCTTTGATTCTCTGGTCTCTAACTTACCAAATCAGATAAGAAACAGAATTATCATAGAACTGTGATTGTCACCCAGCTGGAAAGAGAGGAGGACATAGTTGTTTTCTGATATCTATGCCAAGGATTATTTTTGAGATATTATTTTGTCTCGTGATGATCTAATGTTCTGAAACAGTCACAAGAGCAGTGCCCCGTACAAGTTACTATGCATTGCATAAATATAAAAAGCACACAGTTCTTGGCTTTTAAGTTCACACTGTGAAACTGTGCTGAGGCGTTTAAGTTCATTTAAGACCCTGGTCCTGAATATCCTAGTAGTCCATTCTCAGGTTCTCATGTATCATTTTTTCCTTCCATATCTGTCTGCATACGAAATCTAATGTGTCTGCATACAGTATCTAATGTGTCTAACACAGCAATTAAATACTGTGTCTATATGTTAGACGCATGTGTCTAAAACCAGCAGTATCTAACTGCTGGCTTTTATAATATCAATAAGAGGGCAAGAAAAAAAGTCCTGATAAAGTGCAGAATATCCAAATGTTCTTGTAAGCAGTTCACAATTGCAGTTATGGATATCAAAAGATATAGACCTATTCCATATTACTGAATTCCTGGCTTGAATTCCATCAGCAAGTAATGACAGTACTGAGGTAAAAAGAAATAAGTTTTATGTAGCAGTCAATATCTTTTACATTCTGTAATCATAATATCTCTTGTTGCAGTGACTAGATAACTTTTGCTGCTTCTTAATGAAAATGCACCGTATTTTGTGATACTTTGCTCAGCTTAAATCCCTAATATTCCAAAATCTTTAAAGAGTTTCTCTTTCACCACTCTCCACTATATGTGCTCAGTTTCAACTCTGCCATTTCAGCCTTTCTGAGCAGATGCAATCTGTCAGTAACAGTGTGCATTCAGAAATTAAGCTAAAACACCAAATCACAATTTGTTCTCCACCAAAGGTTAATTCTTATTTACTTTATTCTATTTTGTAAAATTTGAAGCCAGTAAATATAACTGGCATATTCTTACAGAAAGGATGTAATTCTTCATAAACATTTTCTAATATAAAGTTACTGTTTTCCAGTTAAATATCTTGTGCTCATGAAAAAGAGGAAAACGCTAGTATCCAAATAAAAGAATGTAAGTAAACTGCAGGAATACATCAGAGAATTGTTTATATGCTTCAGATTACCTCTTCAGAATAATGCTGTCAAATTGCAAATAATCAAACTTGAAAGGATCGAGGTTAAAAACTAAGTAATACATAAATATTACTGATAATATGTTAGTCTTATTTTAGTCAATTATGTAAGCCCAATATGGTGTCAATGTTAATAGACAAAGTGAATTAAATTAGCAAGTGGACAGATATGCTTCTTAGCTTTCTTGGGGTATTAAACTGAAGCTCAAATCTGGGAATGCCACAGCTGTCTGACAAACAAAGCCTTAATGGCAGATATGTTTTGGTAGCCAGCAAGTTACCAAATCAACCTGTGTAAGTTTTCTAGGCAGGTGAAGCCTTTTTACAGCCTTTAAATATATACTGTGTAAATATAACCAAGGTTGTGATTAGGCTGATTGTTTTTGTAGAAGGAAGGCTTTGAAATACTGGTGAACAACTAATGCAACTGCTATATGCTTTTGTTTCTTCTCTTTTAATTCTGGGACAAGGGAGCCAAATGAATTTTTATTAACAGCTTATATGAGTCACTTATGTATGTATCTTGTAACTCAGTCTAGTCATGCTCCATGCATAGCAACGGATTCATAATATGCTAGGGAGTGTCTCCAGAGAGACATAATCCTTTACAAGTCAGTAGGACTTTACATGGGCACAGAGTTCTTCCTTCATAGATGTGGGCATAGAATCATAGACTCAACTAGATTGGGAAAGACCTTTAAGGTCATTAAGTCTGACCTTTACCCCAGGACTGCCAAGTCCACCACTAAACCATGCCATGACAGCGAATACTCCAACACCCTGCTGTTTGCAACTCAGAATTCAGTTACCTTTTGTTGCATTTGTTGCTATCATGTCTGAATACAGTGCGGGTAAAATAAGCATAAATTTATGAATTAAGATGACATCACTTTCCTCAGGTAAAAAAGCTATACAGTAGCTTGGGTGATTGCAGAAATTGACCACATCGGTTTGTGAGGCAGCACTTCACAACACTGGACAACTCGCAGTGATAGTTTTCATGGAAAATGTGCTTTTGCCACTAGGATCTGCACTGTTACCTCATTTTAATAGTTTATGAAATTCTTTTAAAATTCTCTCTGTGCACTTTGTTATTATGGTATGTTCATCCCAAATGGATTCATTTGAGATAGTTGCAGTTTCACTTATGTCCTGGGTTTAGCAGTAGCCGTCAATTTTTCTCCTTTTTGGTAGCTGGTGCAGCGCTGTGTTTTGACTTTCAGCCTGGGAACAATGCTGATAATACTGATGTTTTCAGTTGTTGCTAAGTGATATTTACCCTGACCAAGGACTTTGTGAGTCTCATGCTCTGCCAGGGAGGAGGGGAAGCCGGGAGGAAGCAGAGACAGGACACCTGACCCAAGCTAGCCAAAGAGGTATTCCATACCACAGCACATCATGCCTGGGGTGGGGGTAACTGGGAGTTACCTGGAAGGACACAGGGTCTTCTGGGTCTGACTCATTTCTCAGCGGGTGGTATTGTATTCTCTTCCCTTGTTATTTTCTCTTGCCATTGTTGTCGTTGGTGGTAGTGTTGGTGATTTGTGTTGTCCATTGGTTGCTGGACTGTTCTTGTCTCAACCCGTGGGAGTTGCACTTTTTCGATTCTCCTCCCCATCCTTCCGGGAGCGGGGAAGAGGAGAGCCCCCGGGGGGGGGCTTGTTTGCTTCTAGCCTGGCACCACTCACTGGGAGTGAGTGAACAAGCTGTCTGGCTAGGGTTAAACCACGACAGTTCTTTTTTGGCGCCCAACGTGGGGCCCAAAGGGTTGAGATAACGACAGATCTGTCCAGATTAATAGTCACTCGTCACAATGCTGATTTATTGGCTCTCAAGGTTGTTCCTCTTGATCTCACAGTTTCAGTATATCGTACCTCCATCCGGTATTTGCTGTATTAGTGTTTTTCAAGTGTGGGGCTTGGGCTAAGGTTTTTGTCTCATTGTACTTTATGGTAATGACTTGTAATACAATAGAATCATTGATCGTGAAACTGATCTGGCTTGTGTTCCCAGTGTGGTCACCAACTTTATACTTTGGGAGGTATATAATAAAAGTGCTTAGCAATTACACATCTTTTTTCTCCTTCTCGGGTGGTCAACCTGTGAAGGAGGCATTCTTTTACCCTCCCAGTCCTCCCCCCAGATCATTTACAGCATCATTTGAGAGTTTTGAAGTTTTTGAATGGCGTTTTAATGCTGTTGAGACTTGTTTGCTGATCGTGATGGGGATCACCATGTTGGCACGCATACAGAGTGTATTTTGCTCACGACTAATTTCAAGAGTTAAGCAGAGTCAGGTTTGGGTCTTGTCTGGTGTTAAACGATGATGTCGTTTTTTAAACCCTAGCCAGACAGCTTGTTCACTCACTCCCAGTGAGGGGTGCCGGGCTGGAAGCAATCAAGGCCCCCTGCCCCAGGGGCTTTCCCTTCCCCGCTCCCGGAAGGATGGGGAGGAGAATCGAAAAAGTGCAACTCCCACGGGTTGAGACAAGAACAGTCCAGCAACCAATGTACAACACAAATCACCACTGCTACCCCCAACAACAACAATGATAAGAGAAAATAAGAAGGGAAAAGAATACAATACCACCCACCGAGAAATGAGTCCGACCCAGAAGACACTGTGTCCTTCTGGGTAACTCCCAGTTACCCCCACCCCAGGCATGATGTGCTGTGGTATGGAATACCTCTTTGGCTAGCTTGGGTCAGGTGTCCTGTCTCTGCTTCCTCCCGGCTTCCCCTCCTCCCTGGCAGAGCATGAGACTCACAAAGTCCTCGGTCAGGGTAAACATTACTTAGCAACAACTGAAAACATCAGTATTATCAGCACTGTTCCCAGGCTGAAAGTCAAAACACAGCGCTGCACCAGCTACCAAAAAGGAGAAAAATTGACGGCTACTGCTAAACCCAAGATCACTTACAATGTTGTTTTTCTGACAGATGGTGTTCTCCTTACCCATTTTTAACACTTATTTTCTTCTGTGTAAATATGGCAAGCTCACTATAACCAGAACCATAATGGTTTTAAAATTCTCTTTGCCTATCAAGTTAATGCTTGTTTATCCTCAGTTATGAATAGTTAAACAGTATGATGCTTGAATTTTTATGAAAGAAATTATTTAGAGCATCTGTAGTTCTAAAGAAGTCATCATTTTGTACAGACAGCTGCTGAGCATGAATAATTTCTGAAAATAAGGACTTTTTAAGATAATTAGTTCTTCTTTTGCAGTTGAAATGGATTTTTATTCCTGGCAGGTTACTAATGTTCACTGGATTTCTTAGACGTAAATAAAACTCTATTTTTAGATCAAAGGTCATCTGAAGGCAGTTTATCAGATAACCTCAGAAACATTAGAGGAAGAAATTTCTGGGATACCAGTAACTGCTGTGCCAGCCTTTATGGGAGGCATATGTAATAAAGTATGAGTTAATTCAATGCAATCCACGTTACAGGCATTTGTGTCTTGGAAATTACTAAGAGGTGTTCAGTGTATTCATTAAACTTAAGTACAGCAGAGCTCTTTATAACATTTTAGATTACGACTGATGGGAAAAGATCAAGGTATTTCTGAGGTAGAGTGAAAATCATTTTAATGCTTTTGATAAGAAAACATTACACTTTAAGTATGTTTGTGTTAAGTAAGTTTAAGTATGTTTATGCTTTGTTTTATGTAAGTATGTTAAGTGTGCTTACTTAACAAAACAGCATTATTTAACTTCCTGTAGTTTCTCTGTTAGTGTACTGTAAACTATGCAGTTGTAGTTTACCAAAGTCTCAGTCACTGTTAATTACTAGACTGGTAAGAAACTTTGAGATGGTGTTATTGTTAATATGTACAATGATATTAGCCTGGAAGGAAAGCCCATTTGTGGAATCATGGGAATGCTCTGTGCTAAGAAACTCCAATGAACAAGGTGTATATGTTGGACATAGGAAGGCTGCTGTGTTATTATTCTTGGCTATCTCATCATCTTAAGCCACCTCCTCTGATTTTTCCTATGCTCTGCTGAGAAACAAAATAGTTCCTTAAATTTATAGCCTGTTGCGTACCCGAGGACTCTTTGGAAAGCAGTATTTCTCACTAATAATCAATGTGTTTTGTAACCTCTAGAGGAAAGCAGTAAAGATGACTAAGCTTTTCTCTTGCATATCTTTCTTTGAGCTGAAGTACCACATTACATATATTAAGACAAAATTCCATATGACAGTCATAAAAATCTCATCATTCACAATTTGACAGGATATCAAGTAGTGCAAAACCATTAACTAATTGGGAATGGGATAACCTCTACCAACTGTTCTGCAATGCTCTAAATCATAATGTATTTAATTACTTTTCCTTTTCGCAAGAGTTTGTCTTTGAAAAGGTGTTCTCGTGTTAAAAACAGACAACATTAAGAGTGATCTCTAAATTTATTAGGTACTCTTGTCAGTCTTGGTCCATTTCTGTGTGAAATTGAAGCTTATTGTGTTGATGCCTCCACATTTATCCATCTGATATGAACAGAATTAGGTCAATATAGTTTTTGTATTCTTGTTCTGTTCTTCTAGTTGGCAAGATAAACACAAAAGAATAAAATACACTATTTTTTGCCTTACAGTTTTCCTTGTTGTTGCTGCTGTTTGGAATCTACAAGCCAAAGAATTGGAAGACAATAAATTTACTTGAATTGTAAATAAGCAAGTCTTTTGCAGTCTGGCAAAATGGCTGATAGTCCAAACTGTGATTTGAAATCTCTCAGTCCGCTCCAGCTGTTTGAAAGAGTAACTGAACAAGGAGAGAAAGTCAGAGCACTGAAAGCAGGAAAAGCACCAAAGGTATTTTTGTTTCATGGTTTGAACCCATCCTTTTCCAAGTTAGGTCTGCCTTTAAGAATGCTGAAGAATATGATTGTTCTAAGATCTTTTTTTGTATTGCAGTAAGAAAAAAATCTTTTTAAAAGCATTTATGTCCATTTTGTGAACTATAGCCATACCTGGAGCAAGGTAGTCAGTAGCAAGAGCACTTTTTATTCCTGAATTAAGAAAAGAAAGTCATAGGCTTAGAAGTCTGCTTTAGCCACTTGGCATGCTGTGACAGGATTCAGGGTATTTGGTTTTCAAGTAAAATTTGTGTCACTCACATTTTTCAGTGGTTTTAGATGCTTCATTAAAATCTTCTTCTTCAGTTGTATTTGTACATACTAGTAAATATGTCTTTCTGTAACTGTAATGACAATCCCTGCTTAATCTCATTTAATTAATTTAGTAGTTTGCCATTAATTTCAAGTTCCCTGTTCTGTCATCGCTATGTTGGCAAAGAGAGTTCAGTTTTAATACGGGCTTTCTTGGTGTATTGCCTGTGGGAGTAAGCCTTGAAAACTGGGAGTCAAGTATTTATATATTTGTATTATCTATTATTTATTGCCTGCATGAAATATTGCAATAGCCTTGAATTTAAAAGGTCATAACCATGAAAGTTGTGAAGAAATTTTTTTCTAGTTTTTCTTCAAATTTGTCAGTTAATTTCAATGAACAGTTTTAAGGTGAGCCACTAAAAGCATTTTGAAGTAAATTAGACAAGAAATTATGTTTATGTATCTTAGTAATTTGTGCTTAAAATGTTAAATTTGTTATACCCCTGAAAAGAGGAAGCATTTTCTTTTTCTGTCAGGCAGAAATTGAAAAGTGAGACAATGGTGCTTTAAATATATTGGCAGTAGTGATGCTCTAAATTCTGTGAAGTAAGAAATGGTTACCTGCTACTTGCTTTTCTTTTGCCTTTGGTAGTAACGCTGCAAACATGTAAATAAAAATTTAGAGTTTATGAATAATGCAGTTAAAGTCAAAGCATGGATGCAGGATTTTAAAAGGTTAGGACATTAATGTAATTACCTATCTTAAGTATGTCAAGGCAAACAGGTTTTTTTTCCTTTATTCAGGATGAAATTGATGCAGCAGTGAGGATGCTATTATCGTTAAAACTGTCATATAAATCAGCAACAGGACAAGATTATCAGGCAGGCTTGCCTCCAAGAGATCTTGTATTAATAAGCAATGGAACAGCTAAAGAAGAGGATGAAGATTTTGTGGACCCCTGGACAGTGCAGACTTCAAATGCTAAAGGCGTGGATTATGATAAACTCATAGGTATAACTCTTTCTTTACTGCTACTAAGGAATTTAAGCTAAGTGATCCTAATGACCATAAATACACCAAGGGATCACAAAAAGTCCTGATCAAAACCATCATGACTATCATGATGTCACTGTAAATCAGTTCTCTAAAGCCATGTTAAAGCCTGACAGCAATGCCCTTCTTCCCAGTAATTGTTTGTGTACGTGTGTGTATGTATGAACTTTTGATCTACCCTAGAATGGTGGGTTAGGTTAAGGGTTTTTACTTACAGTACTAGCAGATTGGGGAATTTGGTGGATGAGTCATTTTGTTTGTTCAAGTGATGTGTTGGAAATTTGTCAGAGAATGCTAGCCTAGCAACTTCAGGTGGTGAAACAGTTACTGCTCATTATTGATAAACCTCCTCTTCTTCCTCCCCATTTTAAAATAATAATAAAAGATACTGGCCAAGAAATAGACATCTGATAGATCTTACAATAAAGGATATTTTGTGCTACCTAAAATCTGTTTATTTACCACAGAAAGTTGCCAGTGTTCTTGTGTTTACTCAAACAGAAGAAAAGTGCTAAAAGCACTATGTAATTGAAAGGGATATTTTTCTCAAATGATTATCCTAGATGCACTTAAGTGTATGTTTGCACAGCAAAACAGCCTGAAGGTATTTTGGGAAGAAAGTTTCTGTTAGCTAAGCACTGGACATGAACATCCATAGAATTTTTGTTTTGTTTGTTTGAGCAGAGGGCAGAGAGGTGAATGAGAGAGATTTGTGTGTGATATTATCAACCATGCTGGTAATTCAGTGAGCTGAATATTGCAAGTGATAGAAAGCAGTTAGTTGCCAGGGATTTTTTTGCAGGTTGTCTAGTCAGCCCCCAGCCTCAGAGTCAACTGAAATAGGTTGCTTAGGACCCTGTCCAGTAGGAATTTTATTATCTCAAAGGTTGGAGATTCCATGATTTTCCTGGGCAGCCTGTTCCAGTATTTGACCATATGCACAATATGGAGTTTTTTCATATGTTTAAATGAAATTTCCTTCATTTCGTATAGTGCCCATTGCCCCTTGGCCTTTCACTGGGCATCACTGAGAACAGGCTGGTGCTGTCTTCTTTACTCCCCACACCTCCCCTAATCACATACTTATACATATTGATAAGACCCCACCTGAACCTTCTCTTCCCCAGGCTCAGCAATCCCAGCTCTCTCAGCCTCTCCTCATACAACAGATGCTCCATGCTCTTCATCCTTATGGCCCTTTGCTGGATTCACTTTGGGTGTCCTTTTAAAGCTGGAGCCCAGAACTGGATCCAGTGCTCCAGATATGTCTCATCAGTGCTGAGTAGGGGGGGAGGATCACCTCCCTTGACATTATGGCAGTGCTGTTCCTAAAGCAACACATAAAGCATTTGACTTTCCAATGTCACAAAACTGCATTGTTGGTTTATGTTCAATTCCATCTTATCAGGACCCTAAGGTCCTTCTGTGCCAAGCTTTCCAGTCAGTTGGCCCCCTGCCTGTACGAGTGTATGGCATTATTCCTCCCCAAGTTCAGGACTTTGTGTTCTCTTTTGTTGAACTTCATTAAATTCTTGTCAGCAATTTCTCCAGCCTGCCAAGGTCATTCTGAATGGCAACATGACCATCTGTTGTATCAATTACCCCTCCCAATATTGGGCAATATCCACAAACTTGCTGAGGGTGTACTCTATCCCATCATCCACATCATTAATGAAGATGTTAAATAGTTTTATCCCCAGTAGCCAATACTATTGGGTACACAAATAATGTTGGGCTCCAGCTGGATTTTGTGCTGCTGGTCACAATCCTTTGAGTTTGGCAGTTCAGCCAATTTTCAATTCACTTTACCATCCACTTATCTAGTCCAGACTTCACGAGTTAGCCATGAGAATGAGAAGGGAGATGGTGTCAAAAGCCTTACTAAAGTTGAGATAAAAAATATCCACTGTTCTTGCCTCATGTACTAGGCTAGTCATATCACAGAAGGCTATTAGGTTGATCTGGCATGATTTTGCATTCATAAATCCATGCTGACTACTCCCAGTCATCTTCATGTCTTTAATAATGTTTGGGAGTGGTTTCCAGGATTATTTGCTCCATCACATTCCCAGAGATTGAGGTGAGGCTGGCCAGCCTGTAGTTCCACAGTTCCTTCTTCTTGCCCTTCTTTAAGGTGGGAGTGGCATTTCCAGCCCCAGGAGCCTCTCCCAGTTGCTGTGACTGTTCTGTCTGTACTGGCCTGATCAGTAAAGTTACTGTATAACAAATAGTAGGGTATTAGTTTCCTGTATGCAAATATAATATGGCAATGGCAAAGAGGAAAAGTACACAATAAATTTTCAGAAAATGCAAATATGCTGTTGAATATGGCAGGTGTCAGGACTTCTTACATACAGCAAGTTGAAAGCTATCTTTTGGTAAAAGCTAGTAAAACACTAGTGTAAAAACACTAGAGATCAAAAGCATGCTAAGAATTTTTTTAAAGTTTGTTAAGGAGTAGAGACTATGTCCTTGTCAGAAGCTGTTTAGGAAAGCAGATTCTTAGTGGATAGAAAGCCTCAAATATTTTGAACACCTTCATGAGAGGAAATAGGTAGGAAAAAATTACCCTATTTTTTAACCAGGAAGATGAAGATGGGCAAAGAAATGGGAGTTGTGCAGCCTGTGAATGTTTGTTTAATGAAGATATTTAGTCATTTCCAGTGAAGTGCTCTATATATCAGAGACTTTTTAATCTCTTTCCATGACAATATACAAATATTTCTGGGGTGGCTAGCTCATTAACCTTATGTTTTCTGTTTCCGTGAGATTAGCCTCTTACCAGCTGCTATTGTTCTGCTGAACCAAACATTTTCATGTTCATTTGTTCTCTTTTTAGCATTCATCCAGATTATAATTAGTTTGCCATTTTGTAATGCCTTTTATTTGCTAGAAAGAAATTAATTCAGTAATTAAGGTTTGCTTAGGACAAACAGATGTGATAATGCTTGGAAAACATATGAATTAAAGCAGTGGTTGCTGAACCATGTATCAGCATTTGTCTTTTTTAGTTACATTTATTTTAATGGGTCAGTATGATACCCTGCTTGATTCATCTGGAGTGAATGAACAATTCTAAGCAAGAACTCATTTCCCATTGGATAATGGTATAGACACCAAGCTGAGCGGTGTGGTTGGCATGCCCGAGGGACCTGGACAAGCTCAAGAAGTGGGCCTACATGAACCTCATGAGGTTCAACAAGGCTAAGGTCCTGCACCTGCGTTAGGCAGCCTGCAGTATGAAGACAGGTTGAGGGATGAAGGAATTGACAATAGCCCTGAAGAGAATAACTTGGTGGTACTGGTGAATGAAATGCTGTACATGAGCCTGCAATGTGAGCTCACAGCCCCAAAAGCCAACCGTATCCTGGGCTGCATCAAAAATGTGGCCAGCAGGTAGAGGGAGGTGATTCTGCCCCTCCACTACACTCTAGTGAGACCACCTTCTAGAGTAATTCGTCAGCTCTGGAGCCCTCAGAACAGGAAAGAAATGGAGCAGGTCCAGAGAGGGGCCACAAAGATGATCAGAGGGCTGGAGCACTTCTATGAAGACAGGCTGAGAGAGTTGGGTTGTTCAGCATGGAGAAAAGAAGGGCTCCAGGGAGACCTTATTGTGGCCTCTCAGTACTTAAAGGAGGCTTACAAGAAAGATGGGGACAAACCTTTTAGCAAGGTTTGTAGCAATACAAGAGGCAACGGTTTTAAACTAAAAGAGGGTAGATTTAGATATAAGGAAGAAAGACTTTACGGTATGGGTTATGAAAACACTGGGTCAGGTTGCTGAGAGAGCAACCTGTAGATGCCACATCCCTAGAAACATTCAAGGTCAAGCTGGACATGGCTCTGAGCAACCTGATCTAGCTGAAGATGTCCCTGTTTAGTGCAGGGAGGCTTGGACTGATGACCTTAAAAGGTCCCTTCCAACCCAAACCATTCTTTATAATATTCCTAGTTTTCCCTCCCATTTAGAAATTAATTCCTACTAACTTAAAATTTAATTGCATATGCAAAGCTTTATATTAATGCCATGCAAAAACAGTAATTCTCTAAGAAAATTAAATGGATAGAGAGGGTCTGGAACAGCAAAAGTGCATACCTCCAGGTTGATGTTCAAATTGGGTACATTATCACACTTCTATCAAAACTGAGTATTTCAGTGGGGATTGTGATTTTTGTTTGTGAAAGGTTGTTCATATAACAAAATTTAAAAAAACAGTTCCTGTAACAAACTTAAACACAGATCCCCATTGTCAGCCAGAGTGTAGAAGAGGAATTCCCTGTGCTCAGAGCTTCTCTGCATTGCAGTGCCCTAGGGTATATATTGGTCTGATTCTTCTGTCCCATCCCTCATAATCCCTAGGGAGCACTGCAGTCACAATGATTAGGATGGTCATGGTTTTAAATAGTTTGTTTTGAGATGTATGTAAAGCCTTAAAGTAGCTTCCAAGTTGTTTTTAGAGAACCTCTGCTGTAAAGGGATCAAAGGTCTCTTTCCCTTTTCTGGGGAAGAAATTACTCTAGTCTACTGTAATACACAAGTTGTATCTGAATATTTACTTTCAAATTACACCAATGTGCTTAATATTCCTTGCTCCCCCAGTGGGTTAATTTTCTTTGTAAAATGATTTGTAGTACATTGGGTAACCAGCGCAAGTAGAGAGCTCTGCCTCCAGCTAGAATCAGTCTGTCTCTCTGTTGTCCAGTGATGTAAACCATTGCACTGTCCAGCTGGGGATTGTTGCCATGTGCTAGGATGTAACATTAGAAGCCTACCTGTTCAACAAATATTAATAATTATAAATACAATAATTGTAATTTTTGTTAATGACAGTATTCTTGCAGGAAGGCTTTTAATGTCACTGGGTTTTGGCTTGGAAAAAAAACAAGAAACAAATAATAATTGAAAACTTAGGAATATGCTGTTTTCAACAGAGCAGAGCTAAGTAGTTCTGTAAGCCATAATTTACTAGCTGCATAATGAATGGTTTAAAATTAATTTCTCTGTTTCCAATTTCCTTAGGAAACTGTCAAGATATTTGAAATCTATCAAGTGTCAGTGATATGTCCCTGTGGAATGATTGTTTTGTGTTATAGTGAGGAAGACCTGAAGTGCTTCTCCCATGTGGGTGTGTGTCTTATAACCGTGGAATTTGCCAGCGCAGTCTCTCTTTAATAAGAGATAGATTTAGATATTTTGTGCATATAAAATGTTATCTTTACATCCAGAGTCTCTGTTTTGTTCTCTTGGATACTTTGGCATTTCCAGTAATTAAAAGTGCAAATTGTTCCAATGCTGCATGGACCACAGTAGTAGCAAAGAGTAGATTGTTGTCTTGACTTTCTCAAATGTTTATCAAATCCAAATCACAAAGCATTGATCTGCTTGTTAGGGTCCAAGAAATGTGACTGGAGTATAGGAAACTTTACTGAAGAAATAAAAGGCTTCCCCAGTTCAGTTTGGAATAGGAAAAAATACTGTTATTCCACTCTGTCAAAACCTTTTTTGAATGAAATGACTACATCTGAAAATATTGTTTTATTAATCAGCTGATTTCCTGAACCACCGAGTAACAACTTGTGCTTGGTTGCCATTAAGAGTATTATGCATTACCTTTTTAAGCCTCTTGAGGGGAGCAGTGTCTGTAATCATATCCATGTGAAAGCAGAATTAAGTTTGCAGAAGAGCATTTGGGGTTGACAGATAAAAAAACGTGAAAAATCAGATATCAACAGAGGGACATTCAGAGCCTCACAGCTACTTTTATCCTATGGCTTAGTTAGGCCAGGTTATTGACCTAAATATGTTTCTTTGTAATATTTTTTGTGCTGAATATCAATACTTCATCTGTAAGGAGACTGCAATTATAATCAGTAATGGATAGAGCAGTACTACACGTTGTGAATGGTTTGGGTCTCTTAGCATAGAGTTATTTCTGGGGACAGATAACGACTGGGACTTCAGGGAAGAATCAGGAAAATCCAGCCTTTTTACCTGAGATGTGAAGATGTTCTTTTTAATCTAGGCTGCATCGGTATGTTCTTGGTGATCCAAGATCTGGTTGCAAGTGTGCTATGCTTTAATTTTTTTTACATTTTATGATTATAGTTCGGTTTGGCAGCAGTAAAATTGACACCGACCTGATCAATCGAATAGAAAGAGCTATTGGGCAAAAACCTCACCGCTTTCTACGTAGAGGAATCTTTTTTTCTCACAGGTGAGTTTTTGTTGGTTTAGCATTCAGAGAGGTCCTATTAGACTTTCTGTGAGCATTTTTGGGAGGAAACCTGTGACTAGCAAAAGGCTATGTTCTTCTATAACAAGGAAAACCAACTCTGTCATTTGAAGTTAGCAACTACTGCAGATTTCCACTGTCAGCATTTGAAAACCCTGGTTGCATTTGTTTCTGATGTGTCCTCACTAATCCCAAATTCAAGAAGTGTGCACAGGATCTTTGCTTTGTACAGGTTTCATTTGATTCTATGTTAGCAGCCAGACAAAAGCGGTGTTCTAGCAGTGAACTTAAGGGCTCATATGGTGTCAGTGCTGATTTAAACAAGGGTTGACATGGCCTGTTGGGACCTGTGCATCTGTATTGTTATATAAAAAAGACTCAAGGAATAATCTTAAGCACCAGTCTGCCAGTCATCTACATTGTTTAATTGTTAGCACACATGGCAGCTAGCACATTTCAGCTAAGTGCCTGAGTAGGATACAGGGCATAGCCTCCACCACATACCATTTCAAGCTGGTTGTTTGAACCTACCTGAGAAATTATTCTAGCTCTTTTAATTAGGCTTTAGAGATTATTATCCAATTAAGTAACTCCAAAAGTTATACATTTTCTATTTAAATTTAAATATTGGTTTTTAATTTCTTTTTTTCTTCATTTTCATGAAGTCTGAAGGTGACAATACATAAATTAAAAAATGAACAAACAAAACCCTTTTGTTTCTAGGACATTTAACATACAGTATTTTATTTATAAGTGTGTTTGGCCTCAGAAGCAGTCAGATTTTGAATAGAAGCTTTTTGCTGTGATGTTTCTTCCTGAAGAGTTGCATCTGTTTTCTCTGTTTTTTCTTTAGAGATATGGACCAAATCCTTGATGCTTATGAAAATAAGAAGTCCTTTTACCTTTATACAGGCAGAGGGCCGTCCTCTCAGGCAATGCATGTTGGTCATCTTATCCCATTTGTGTTCACAAAGTGAGTTATTTCTACTATGTGTGTTAATCAAAACATTTTTTCCTAAGGAAATACTGACCATGGTTTATGGAACTCCTTACGTGAGCTGAATATTAATGAACTTAAACAATGCAGTCTTACCTTTTCATTAAAATTATCATTATCCCTATGTTGCCATGAAGCCCTATTCCTTGCACTCTTAGCCCTGTGGCATCCCTTAGAATTTCTGTTCTTCTTAAAAATGAGTTTGTGGTGAGACTTGGTAACATTGCTCTATAATGCGGTTTCTGTTCACATCAACAACTGCATATGCATACAAAGAGGAGAAACAGGCCTCTTTATACACTTCTTTTTCAATGTATAAAAATATTTTATTTCCATGACTTAACGTTTTCATTTTAACTTACTTTGTGATAAAATCTTCCTGTTTTTATTAGGTGGCTGCAAGAAGTATTTGATGTTCCCTTAGTTATACAGTTAACTGATGATGAGAAATATCTATGGAAGGACATGACAACTGAGAAGGCATATGAGTATGCTAAAGAAAATGCAAAAGACATCATTGCATGTGGTTTTGACATCAATAAAACCTTTATATTTTCTGATTTAGACTATTTGGGGTAAGTATAAATCTTTTTAGGGCTCTAATGAAGAAATGCCTTTATTTTCTGTCAAACTTTGACAGCCAGCAATGTTTTGATAAATGTGTCTAAATTTGAAAGCTTCAAGACAAGTTTTACAATACTTACAATAGAAACATAATTAATTTTTTGGCTGTCTAATATTTTGTGTATATAGTATTGTCATTCTCCTGTATAACATATGAAAAAATACTTTTGTGTGCAATGCTTAAATTTAAATTATGAAAAACATATTAAAACAGCTAAATTGTGAAAATATTTAAACCTCCAAGAAACCTCCAGATTGATTTGTTTAACATTGTATCCAAATCTTTGTGGTGTGCTTCCACTTTATCTGTGTTAACAAAGGGCATTTCAGCAACTGTGGTTAATTAATTTAATAATAGAGCATGCAAGATTATTATTTGGACTTTGAGTAAAGTTTAATGAAGATTTAAGAAAAAGAAGTGTCTATTGGAACTGCCTTCTCAGAAGGAATAAGTTTTATGACAGAGTTCAGAACCAGAGTTATGGGCTTTGCTATTCCATGTGGGGAAATGAGCTTCCCTAAAGACTTGGATGAGAGAATGTGTATTTTAGAGATGAACTGTATAACATACAGCCCCAGAATGTGGAACCTACAAAGCAGCTTTTCTTCCTTTAACTCCTGTGATTTTTCTTGCCTTAGAAAAGTGTCGTTAACACAGATCTGCCCTATGGCTGAATAAGGCTGAATAACAGAATTGCTGTTTCTTTGCTTCAGCTCCTCAGCAGAAATAAAAAAGGAAGAAGCTGCTGAGCTATTTTTTGGTTTGGAAATACAAGCAGGGAACTTAGCCTGTAGAAAACAAGAATTTGGAGCATTTGAGCTATTACTTTGACAAAATGCAGTGTCCTGTATGGGATACACACTGGGGATGCCAAGCAACACAGAAGACAAAATCCATTCAGGTTGCCTTAGTTCACAGAGAAGCATAAGGATAAGTAAACTTCAGGTTCTGTGAGGCATTTTGGCACCATTTCCAAATCAAAGTGTTTCTGGGTTAACTGTCTAGTTAATTGTGACAAAAAATGTTTGCAGTAAATGTTAGGGGAGGGAAGAATAAATTAAACTTTCAAGGAATAAAGTTCTTGTTTGTAAGTAATTCTGTAATTATTATCTCAGTGGGCCACAGAAAATCTAAAACAGATTTAATCCTGCAGGGTTTTTGACATTCTTAGCTTATAGTTTCTGCCTGCACTTTTCTGCTCTTTTCATTTTATTTTTCTACTTTATTTCTCACAGGACAAGTACTGGATTCTACAAAAATGTTGTCAAAGTTCAGAAGCATGTTACATTTAACCAAGTGAAAGGAATCTTTGGCTTTACAGACAGTGATTGCATTGGTAGGAAATAATGGGTTACTGGAAGTGGTGATTGCTTTCACTCTCTGTGGCACTATTTAAGTAAGAATTTAAAGAGATTAGTATCATGAAATGGATAGAAAAAGCAAGAAGATCCATTTCTCTAGGCTTTTCTAAAAGGGTGTTATTGTGGTTCCTTCAATATCGAAAACAATTTACAGTGAAATTTCTAGTGTGATTAATAGCTACTTTTTCAGCCTTAGTAACAGCAAAATACAAAAGACCAATGTTGAATCCCCAAGGTAGAGAACTGTTCTTTTCCCTTGGTGGTTGGTTTTTTTTTTTGGTTTTGTTTTTTTTTTAATAATGGAGTTATAGTCAAGTATGCCTCCTAGAAATTTTTATGCCAGATTTATATAGAAGCTTTTCTCTTTCATATTAATACACACATGCATGCATATGCATATATGAAAAAAGTTAAGGAGTGCTCAGAAGCCTAATTATCAAGGTTCCGAGTAACTGTCTTCCAGTTATTTCACTGCAATTGCAGGTTTTTGTAACATTGGCCAAAAAAAGTCAAATATGGCATTAAAACCTTGGTGTTGTGAGCACTAACATCGTTCTTTGACCAGTAATTAGGCCAGTGACAGCTTTTAGCCTTCACTGTAACCAAGCAACAGATTCCTGCTTGTTTTAAGCATGCTCTAATAAAAATTGGTATTGTGATAATGACTTCATTATGTGTTTGAAAAAATCTGCCCTTTGCTTTCTTTCCAAGAGGATTTTGATCAAGGAAGCATCTTGGGCACCTTGTGACTAAGCACTGTATAAAAAAGAAAACTAGGCATATCTGAGATGCTTCATAAACATAGCATGCATATAGCAATGATTCTAAGATCTTGGAGCAGAACTTGCCTAATAAGTAGCTCTAGAGTCATTCTCACAAAGAGTTAAAAGAGAAAAAGAGCAGCTCAGGCTGATGACATAGTCAGCTGAATTTCTGGGGAGGGTAGATAGTTCAATGATGAAGAGATTATGTGCTGATGAACCTTTTCTGAAACATTTGTGATCACAGCCTGCCTCTTTTCATTAGTTTCTATGTTACTTTGAAGGTTTTTGACAACATAGAAGGTAAAGATTAAAAGATTCCCTCAGATAAGGCAAGACTGCTTGAGAAAGATAGCTGTTGGTGTTCAACTGAGTATCTGAATGATTTACTTGTGCATTTGACATATTTCAAAATGCTATCTCTATTTATCATTGCTTGTATGGGCTGCTTAGCTTTTCCAAATATACTCTTTCCTAGGAAAGATCAGCTTTCCTGCTATTCAAGCCGCTCCATCCTTCAGTTCATCATTTCCACAGATATTCAATGGCAAGGAGAACATTCAGTGTCTTATCCCATGTGCTATCGATCAGGTAAGAAAATCGTATTACTTATTTTGCTTTTCATGGACTTGTTTTTATGATGTACAATTCAAGCTTCATGGTGGTATGGTGGAACATCTGTAAAACATTCCTGCAAGCGCCTTTCTGGGGCAGAAGCTGGAAGAGCTAGAAGTATGTTGTGCTGTGTGCTGACAAATATGAAGGCTTAAGCCAACTATCTGTATTTGTGCATTACTCATTCTTGCCAGTCTTGGATCTTTCTTGATCTCAACCCATTTCACAGTGAGCTGAAACCTGTGAAAGCAAAGACACTAAAATTTATGCAGAAGTTTACTGACATGGGTCTAGGAAGAATCTTTGGCCACCTCTGTGGTAATTGGGACAAGACTTAATGAGCTCAACTTGCAACACAAGAGATTTATATCGAACCATAGGGAAAAATCTTCTATCAGTAAGTATAAAGAGGCATTGAAGTAGTTTGCCAAAAAGGCTGCAGTGCAGAATCTTAACAATTTAGATCTATATAGAGAGACTGGAAGAACATCAACTACAAATGACAGTGGTAGTGCCATTACTTTAAATAAGTATTGTTTCTAGGAATCAAAGTCTGCACTGTCTGAATATTTAGCTATTTTAGTCACAGGGTCAGTGACGTAATTATGCTCATCAGCCACAATATTATGTACTAATATTACAATTGGTTTAAGTCAGATCATCAGCACAGCACTGCCGGCTTGATCACTGATTTATTTCAGATTTTGTGCTGGTTCTTAAAAGACTTTGAGAGAAAGCTTGCATCTTAGTCTTCATCCATCTGCTGGTATACTAAGCATAGTTCTCACAACTATTTGAATTCATGTAAGTCTTTGTTAATATGCCTATTAGTTGGGGGAATCAATGTGTGTAACAAAACTGGAGATGGAAAAAATAGATTTTGTTTGTTTGTTCCTCTGGATGAATTGGATTGGAAGTAGATTCTGGAAAATATTGGGGTTTGGGGTTTTTGTTTTGGGTTTGGGTTTTTTTTGAGACCACCTGCTAAAGCCTGAAGGAGTCTGCAGTAGTCAGCTTTTACGTTACATTTTTCAGCTTTATTCTGTATTTTTATTGATGGTTGTTCTAGGATCCTTATTTTAGAATGACCCGGGATGTAGCACCTAGAATTGGACAACCTAAGCCAGCCTTACTGCATTCAGTCTTCTTCCCAGCCCTACAAGGAGCACAGACAAAAATGAGTGCTAGTGACCCTAACTCCTCCATCTTCCTCACAGATACACCCAAACAAATCAAGACAAAGGTAAGGACCTACAAAACCTGAGAGTTAAAAGCTTTATAACAAAAATGAATGATAGTCCTCATGGTTACAATGACAGTTTTCTAATGTTCAAACATATCTGAATCCTTTTTCCCATACATTTCATGGCAAATCCTCCTCAGGAATTGACTGAGTTACGCAAATTTAACTAGCCTATGAAATATATCCTTTTGCCTTGCCAATTAGTCAAACAGTACAAACATTAGCTAGAATAATGGACAAAACATCATGTTTATTTTTCTGATGTCTGCATAACAGTGGTGTAAGAATAAGAGCTGTGGAGGTTCCTGCTCTGAAAATAATGTTGCCATAGTTTTGAAATCTGACAAGCCATGATGTAAATCTAATAAACAGCTCTTTCTATTGACTGCCTCTCCATGCTGGGAGCACCAAGTGTTGCACAGTGTGAGTTACAGCACAGGTTAGGCTTTTCCTGCTACCTGGGGATCTGCTGCTGCCATACACTCCAATTGACAAACAAATACTGTGTTGAATTTCACCTAAGATTTAGAAGGGCTATTTTCTCCTGAGTATATTATGAGTATTTTTTCAAGCTCAAGGGAAAGTACATCTAGTTTGGCAGAAGCCCACCTGTGTTGTGGTATTTAAAAAACACAAATATAAATCAGTCTTTGCAAAAGGATTCGTATAGGCATGATAACTAGACATTAAGTAACTGTCAGAACAAGAAAGATGTGTATGCTGTTTTACTGGGTGGGCTTGGATTGGTTCTCTTATGGTTGATGAACCCATGGTGGCTCAGATTCTTCTACAGCCATCTTGTAATGATTCATTATCTTATGAAGAAACTGATTAAACAGAACTGTTTTGAAGAATTGGAATTCTTCATGTGTTTGAATTATAATAACTCCAGTTTATTTGCACAGTTACAGAGTTGCCTTTTAAATAAAACTGTAATTTCTGAATAGAGAATACACTGTTAGTGTCAATGTTAGTAATATTCTTCCATTCTTTACCTGGCAAGTAGTTAGTAATCTGCAAAAAGATCCAAGATGCCCTGTGTCCAGTTAATAAGTCCTATTTCTGGTATATTTAAACTAGTTGGAAAAATAAAAAATAATTCTATCTACTTGGAGTGTAAAAGCTATAAAGAAAAAATTCTGAACATAATGTCAAGTATTGAGTAACAGAGGACAAACTGAGATTTATTTCCGTTTCTGAAGCTTGTCATAAACAAATCTTTATGGAAATAGAGCCGGAGTGAAAGATCAAATATTGTTATGGCAAATAAAGTAATGATGTTCAAAAACTTAACAGGTAATAGTGGATGAAAAACAAACTAGATACTGAGAAAGGCTGAGAAGCTTCTGGGAAATCCAAGGAGATAAATGTCAACATTATAATAAACTATTCTTATTGCACCTATCAGCACCAAATTACAGCTCAATTATTTGATTTCCTAGAAAGTGTTATTTAGATTCTGTCTGTACTAATTCAGGGAAAAGGTCAGTTCATCATTATAAATAAATCGTTGAAACTTTCAGTCAAAGACTAAGTGCCAGAATATGTAAAAAATGAACTTGAGATTCATGTAGAAAACACTTCATATAAAACAACAGTGTGTCTTCACCTGGCATATTGTGTTTAATCCCTCTACCTTTAGTAAGAAGGCAAACTGTAGAGATGAATGACAGAAAAGATTTCATACCAAGGCTTTCAAAAGTCTAGTAAAGGAGAGAGAGGCAAGTGCAAAATAATATGTAAAAACTTAGTTTTACAGATACTGAGACAGATCTTCAGGCTGTCCTGCAATATAAGAATAGATGTGATGTGGCAGATGGCGGTTCATTTTCTGAAGATACTCATCAGCGCATCATTTTTTTATGGAATTCGTTGCCACAACATCATCTGTAATGTGGTGGTTAGAAGGATTCAAAAAAGCACTAGACAGTCATCCAGATAGTAAGAGTGTTCAGAAATTGTAAATGCGTAACAGCTCCTAGGTACCAGAACTGAAAAAAAAAATCTACTTCAGATGTATGTGTGTCTCTTGGCTGCTTGATGGTGATATCTGAAAAGATACAAGAGCCAAATGAAAACTCCACTTATGGTTGAGAAATACTTTTCTTCCTTTTCTGGCAATTTGTTTTCTTTAAATTTGGAGGAAGATTAGCATGCTCTGAGAACTCTATACATGTGTAAAGTTTTAAAATACGCTAGTGGCTTCTGAATTTAGTGGGAATGGGATTAGCAAGTAGTTGTATTCACCAGTGCAGTTCATCTGCCCATGGGAATCTATGCTTAGAAAGAGGGGGGAGAGAGGAAGGAAGTATTCCATTTTCATACTGAACAATTAGGCGTTTTCTGATTTTAGCCATTCTAGCCAGACTTGTAATCTTTAACTTCTCTTCCTCTTATTTTCCTTTTCACTGAAAAGAGAAGGAGCCAAGGTTCTCTCTAGAATTTCTTCAAAATTCTCCATGCCTTCTTCATGTCTTTCAAAATTAATTTCTTGATGAAGTGAATATCTAATTTTTCTTTACATGAAGTACATTTCCTGTAAGCACAAATTCTATCCGAGAGACAACTGCTTCAGCAAAAGGGACTTAAAACTTTTTTGATTAAATCTTGGGTGGATTATTTTTAATTTTGCTTTATTTTCATTCTGATTATGCAGTCTGAGGAATATATATGTAGCCATTTTTGTCTTTGTATTATAATGACCTTTTGCCTCCCTGTGTCGGTCCTGAGGCTCTGCATTAACTTGCACCACCCTTCACCCTTCAGCTTGTCCTTAGTATAGAATTTTGAGGATCATGATACACCTCTGTTTACAATAGAGCAGTGCATAATTTAGGAGAAATTATACCATAAAATCTTTATGTTGTTTCAGATTAACAAGCATGCCTTCTCAGGAGGCAGAGATACCATTGAAGAGCATAGGAAGTACGGAGGTAACTGTGATGTTGACGTGTCTTTTATGTACCTGACTTTCTTCCTAGAAGATGATGACAGGCTTGAACAACTGAAGCAGGTAAGTAACCAAGTTGACAATAATACTATTCATTCCTTATTGTAAGGACAAAGCTGTAACCAAGTCCTCCTGTGAACTTGCTGCACAAAGGTAATTGTGGTGTTACTCTTGCACTCTCCAGCCCTTGCAAGTCTCAATATCTGTATTTGTTTGCAGTGTTCTTTATCACAGGCCAATCTATCTCTTCTTAAAAATTAATAAATAAAAAAATAAATAAACTCCTAGTGTTTTCATAAAGATCTCCAACACTGTGTAGAGCATCTCCCCTACCTTTCAAATGAAGCCACCTTAGGATTAGTGTTGTTTTTATTGTATAATGCACTCTGCCTGTTCCTTACATGCAATGTACCAATATACTGTGCAAAAGTACGAAAGCTTCACAGCTGAACTTGCTAGGATTTTGGGTGTTTTCTTATCACAAGAAATGCAGTAGCTATGAGGAATTGATTCTCTGTTCCCAAGAAGAAAATGCTTCATGTAAGTGGCATTTTCCTTAAACCTATCTGGCAGACTTATGTCCCCAGGGGTTGGTAGCAAGATACTACACTTTCTTCAGCTGTATTGTTGTCATCAATACTAGGCAGTAAGCATTCTCTGGAAGGCAGTATCCACAGTTGAAAGTACCCATGTCACATTGGTTTCATAGAATCACAGAATGGTTTGAGTTAGAAGGGACCTTAAAGATCATCTAGTTCCAACCCACCTGCCACAGGTGGGGACACCTTTCAGTAGACCAGGTTGCTCAAAGGTTTGGCAGCTTTGGGAACAGCTATGAGAAAGTCAACAACTTCAGATTCTTCTCCAGCCCTCTGGTATATTTATATTATTTTATATAAATTCCACACAAGAGCAGGGTTGGATAGCTGCTAATCCCTATACAGATCATTGTCAATTTCTTATGGAAATCTGGAGCACATTTGACTTAATGAACAGTTTGCCATTAGTCTCCAGCCACTGCAACATTATCAGCCTAACTGCGACAGAGCACAAAGCCTAGACCACCACTAGCAGCTTGCTCCAATGTTAGCCCAGAACCAGATTAGAAAACATGAAGTAACTGCTTATACTGGCATTAGTGGGGCTGTTTCAGGTATGGTACCAGAAGTAGCTTCTAGAGAAAGCAATATTGGTGTTTTTATAACAGAAAAATCAAAACCACAACCCAAAAACCACCACTGAAGTTACAGTTTAGCTCATTGTTATTATCCATATTTTACTGTTGCTGAGTAAGCATCAGCAACAATTACAGCTTGAATTGGTATTACAAATGGCTGTCCTGGGTTCAGCAGTAGCAGTCATGTTTTTTCCTTTGTGTTAGCTGGTGCAGTGCTGTGTTTTGACTTTCAGCCTGAGAACAGTGTTGATGAAGTCGATGTTTTCAGTTGTTGCTAAGTGATGTTTACCCTGACCAAGGACTTTGTGAGGCTCATGCTCTGCCAGGGAGGAGGGAAGCTGTGAGGAAGCAGGGACGGGGCGCCTGACCCGGGCTAGCTAGGGAGGTATTCCATACCACAGCACGTCATGGCCGGGGTGGGGGGTGACTGGAGTTACCCGGAAGGACAGGGGCTTCCGGGTGGAACTCGTTTTCTTGGCCGGTGGTATCGTATTCTCTTCCCTTGTTATTTTCCCTTATCATTGTTGTAGTTGATAGTAGCAGTGGTGATTTGTGTACATTGGTTGCTGGACTGTTCTTGTCTCAACCCGTGGGAGTTGCACTTTTTTTTTTTCTCGATCCTCCTCCCCATTCCTCCGGGAGTGGGGGAGAACCCCCGGGGGGGGGGGGGGGCACAGACCTCGATTGTTGTCAGCTCGGCACCACTCACTGGGAGTGAGTGAACAAGTTACCTGACTGGGTTTAAACCACGACAATGGCTTAATGGCAAGAGAAGGTAAGATTGCCATTTCATATCATAGCTGAACTGCCCCAGCCAAGGTTGACCAGGGCAGCAGTTAGCCTGTGCTTTTAGCTAAGTGTATTTCCAATATCACAGGAACTGAGTGAGTTCCCAGCTGTGAACCTGACTGCTAGTGTGAACACAGATTCTGAGTGTCTTTGCTATAAAAAGGATATTTTAATCACATCTGATCTCATACCTAAATGAAGTGAGGAAAAAAAAAAAAGTGAGAATTTGTACTTATTGCAAAAAAAACTTAAGGTGACTTTTTTTGAACTGGGATTCTGGAGTGAAAAATACACCTTTTCTTTCAAATAATTACAGGATTTCCCAGTTAAATTCTTGTGGATGTACCTTATTTAGTCCATATAACTTTTCACATACGAAATTGCACAGCTGCCTTAATCTTTCAGAAGGCAACAAGCAATTTTGCAAGTTACATCTTCAAAGTGATGCCACACAGTCTTCTAAGGCATGTGCTTATTTTTAAGACATCCAAATCTGTATTTGCTAGGGCCAGGCTCTTAAAGCAATACTTGTCATGAGTCTTTTTCCATATGGCACCATATTTAGCAATCAACACTTCCTTGACAGGCATACACAAGTGGGGAATTGCTCACAGGGGAGCTGAAGAAGGTACTCATTGAAACACTGCAGCCCTTGATAGCAGCTCATCAAGAGAGACGGAAGCATGTCACAGATGAAATGGTGAAGCAGTTCATGACTCCTCGGAAGCTGGCCTTTGAATTTTGAAGAAATGTGTATGTAACTTATCACCTGATAAAACCAAGAATAACTGTTGTCTTCTGTTGTATGTCATCACTCCCTACTTACGTACAGCCTGCAATCAGTGCTTTATAAATACTGCTGTTAATGTGTTAATTAACGTGTATGTCAGAGTACAGGAAAAGTTTAAAATAGGAACTTGTATCTATTTAAAATCAGAATACACAAGCTAGAATTGCCCAATCTTGCAGAAAAGCATGTCTTTCAGCACAACATTGTTATTTTATTGTATTTCATGTTGAAAATATAAAATAAAAGTTCCATTTTGATGATAAAACCTAACTTGTAAATTGTTCTAAATACATTGGTAAAAGGTCATACCTCAACATAATAACTAGTAACTCCATTTTCTCTTCTACTGTGTACCTTGATATAGTAGACTGTATGTCCTTTTGAGCTACTGGGAACATGCTGCGCACAAAAAGATAGTGAGGTTACAAAGCAGATTATACAGTACTTAGGCCTGGGACTGATGCAGAAAGAATGGAGATCTGCAAGTTGAGCATGAGAGAAAGAGCATCAGACTGGTTTTGTTACAGCCTTCCTTTCTGACCTGGAGCAAGTCACAGAAATCTCACTGTACTTTTGTTTCTGCAGCTATTTAACTGGTCTGACTGCTTCTGGAGGGAGGAGGTTATCATAAGGTTGTAAAGTTTGTTAATGTTCTCAGGTGCCAGCTAGTATAGGCATGCAAATTTTTGTTTCTAGTTATAAAAAATATCAAGTGTTAAATCATACTGTGAAAATGAAATAACTGCTGGATACTTCTAGTACTGTCTGTTCTATTGCACCAAGTCATTTAAATTAAGGGTACTTATTGTAAGATGTATTCCAGTGAGAAAGTATAATTTGTTAAAATACCTCACATACTATTTAATTATCTCCTTTCTTAAAAAAAGAACTTCAATGACTTTGCTACGATTTATGAACGAAAAATTCATATTATTGGCTAATTTGGTTTGATATGTACAGTGCTGAATGCAAACTTAGATCTATCTTGGTTTTATATAGAATAGAAAGTTGCTAGCCCAGATGTAGTCTTATCTACATCAAATAAAAATACCTTTCATAACACAGGTGGGTAATGGTGTGTGGTATTTTTAAATCATTTAAAAATATGAGGAAAGTAGTTTGAGGTGTGAAAGATTTAAGCTTGAACAGGTTATGTACTGTGGAGCCTAGTGGACATATATTGACTGTAGCATTCTTAAAGAGACCCAAAAAAGCACACTTTTCATTTCACTGTAAACCTTTGAAGTCAGCTGGTTACACTTGGGTTAAGGGAGCATTTTCAATGGTGAGTCTTCTCACTGACTTCAACAGACCTTGGATCAGCCTGTTAGTATGTGAGAACATGCTGGGCTGCTCATGCTGCCTGAAGCTGATGCTGCTGCCATCCCACCAGTAGCGGTTCTGTAACGCAGCATACATGTCCTCTCTGGCAGTGACCTTGCATTTCTGAGATGGAAATGTCTGTGGGCCAAACTGTATGTAAATTACATTTGTGCAAGGGACCAAGAAAAGACTGAAACTCAAGGCAAATTTAGTCCTATTATTGCATGTGTTTCAAACTTGTGCTGAAAATAGCACTGCTTAGCTTTTGTCCTTTTCTTTACAGTTTACATGTGCTGGCATCACTAATGTCATTGATTTGAATGTATTAAAGTAGATATTTACTAGCGACTGTGTCTTTATAACCCACAGACATAGCATCCACATGCTAACAAGTGTTTAACAATTAGTACAAAAGCTGGTTTTTGTAAAGTGGTGGAGCAATTCTGATGGACAGAAAAAAAAAACAAGCAACAGCTTCTTATTTCCAGCAGTAAATGAACTAATTCTTAGTTACTTTAGACTTTAATTAGGACCTTCTTGTTCTTGCAGTCTTCTTATGACCATCTTTAAGATACATATGAAAGATTTCTTCTTTAAAATCTTGTATGCAGATTTGTCCTGCAAGATTTCATTAACTATGAATTTATTTAGTTATTTAGGGAAGGGAAATGTGCTGTAGGAGAAACAAATAGTGGTGGTCTAACTAACCATATGGATTGATTTTATAACACAAAAGTTAAAAACTGTTTTGAACATTCTAGAAAATAAAGTGATAACGAAATTATTTGGTATTTGTTTACTGATCAAGAGCCTTACTCAAGTACTCTGGTGAATTCTTACAAACATGCTTCTGAAATGATACATTTTCTAGTTTCTCAGAGGAGTCTTAGCAAATTCCTAAAGCTGTTACAATTCAAGTCCCAGAAGTATTTAAAAGACAAGAGAAGGCAGTCTTCAAAAGTAGGTGTGAAATATCTAAGAATTCCTCAATTTGCTCATATTTTGTTCATCTCACTGTAATAAAAATGTAGATAGAAGTTTACATTAAACTTTTGATTTTACTCTTTTTTTAATCTATTTTTTATTATTATTTATCTTTTATTTTAAAAGGTTTTGTTTGCACTTACTCTATTTTTGACCTCTCTTCCTACTCTTTTAGGTGTTGATTTAGTCATCTCATGGATCTGGACCTTGTTTTGATGTCCAGTGCCGTTTAAGTAGTGAAATAAGGTGCCTTACAACCCCCTCTATCCAATCCTACTAGGTGGACTTCAGCTTGCTCCCAGGGCAAGCTAATAAGAGTCAGTTCTCCAGATTAACTGACTGCAAACAAGACTTGATGCTGAATTTCCCTGTGCACAACAGCCATCTCAGAAATAGGGCAAGGTTGATTTGACCCATTTACAATGATGCTTCAGTAGGTTTTGCGTAAAGACTAGTACTTAAATGGAAACATGATCCTCCACAATTGCTGTTGTCTGAAAAGCACAGATTCCAAGTAGCCTCACATGACTCCTCCATAGACACCAAGAGACCTCCTGAAACCTACTTGGATCTCCATTAACATTCTCAGAGAAAACAGGAACTATCAGCAACATGAAAACATGAGGCAGAATGTGCCATCTAAAAGAAAGAGGCACATTTTCTTCTAAAGAAAATTCACTTGTTTTCAAGGCAACCAACTTTGTTACTAAAAGAAAACATCTATACAGCAGGCTGCAGTCCCCTACAGCAAAGAAACCCAACTTCAGCACAACAAATGTGGTGTCTTCTTTCTGTTAGCTGGCCTTCAGCTAGCTAGTTTGTCAGAATAAATTGTTCTATGATTGTCAGAGCAGCTGAAGGTCAAGGTAAAATAAATCAGAAAAGAAAGCAGTTAAATTCTGAAATCCAGAAGCCAAACACCCGGCTTGGGGGTGCGTCTGGTGAAGTACATAGTATGTAACAGTGTGTCATGTTGTTAAACAAAAATCAGTTCATGCTTATGTGCCTGTGTTTACAGGACTGTTACAGTCAATTCCTGTACCTGTTGATAGTTTGTATCAGCATGAATCAGAGGAGTTCTTGCTCTAAGGCAGGTTGTCCCCCATATGCTGTATATCTTTTTCCTGTAAAGGGCTGTGAATAGGATGGATTGCAAAGTGGTTACCTTCCTGAATACCCTGCCTGGAGATACAACTCACCTCACGTGTAGCATTTGTTCAGGCCACATGAGAACCTACTTTTTTACATGGTGCTGCATACCCTGAGGCTTACAGTTCTGGCTTCTGCAGTCATTCCCACTCATTTTTACAATTCATCTGTAATTGCTGTTTCTTGAAACCAGCTCTGTTTCAGTTACACCCACAGGAAGAGACATTTTTAGTTATCTGAATGCTTGAGCCAGTTAGGAAAGCTGAGCTACTTTACTTTCAAGCTTTGGGCTGACCATGGATGGTATCAGCACTGCCTAAAACAGTAAATGGTTCTTTAGTCTGATTTGCAAGCATTTTGTAACTGTCTGTGTTCAGAGGACGTGATGCCTGAGAAGAATACAGCTTAAAGGAGTTCAATTCCAGAAAACAACCAGGCACAGGTGGGACAGCACTCAGTGAAATGCACCCCTTGCAGAAAGAGGTGAGGGTAGGAGACCCTGCCTGGTGTTTTAACCTTGCTCTTGGATCAGCTGCAAGATCTGGGTAGACTCAACTTTAGTGACTGGTGGATAACATGTCTGTGAGCATGTTTAAAAAGCCAGTTGAAGGCCTAAATCTCAGAAGGCCATTTCTGGAGCTTTTTACTGGTCTGTCTGGAGCTGAAGAGGTTCCCTTTATTCTTTCCTAGTAACACCTGAGATTTTTAAACTTGTTCTAGCACAAGAGCCTTTTTTATACATCCGGGGTAGCTGACAAGTCCTGCTTGCTGCAAATATGCTGTCAGTGTAGTCAGAGCCATGTTAACTGGTAAAAGTGGCCATGGGCCAGAAGGACATCAACCCTGAATGTTAGAACTCTAAAAATACAGGCTCCCTCTTTCCCTCCAAAAAATGCACTTTCAGCAGAATCTGACAGAGGCTGGATCCAGTCTGCTCCAGATGGCGTCATCTAGGGATTAAAGCAGATACAGAAAATACGTGCTGTATCCGGAACCAGGATGAGCAAATAAAAGTATTTCTGGGTTTAGGGTTTTTATCTTCTGAAGCAATAGTGTGGATTTTGTTTTCTTCAAGTGATGTGTTGATGAAGCTTTCTACCTTTGTGAAAAATAGCTGATAGAAAAGTCAGAAATTCTTTCGAAACATACCCATGACAAAAAAACACTTGGCTGCTCCTGACAGCATAGTGTAAAGGGAGAAGAGTATGCACCTTTAAAAAGTTGTACATCTTAATTATACTCTACAACTTTGCAACTTTCCTTTAACTTGCTAGTGTGGAGATTTTATGGCAGCCTTCCTTTGAGAAGCAAGGAGCTTTTGCATCTCTTCCTACCCAGGATCAGAACAGATTGTCTCCAGAGCTGTGCCAAGCTCTTGAGAGCTGCAGTACCATCAGCCTGTAGGGTTACTAATGCTGTAGGGCTCGGGTTTGTACAAGGAGAAATCACATGGCTTATGGGAAACTGTGCCTGGCTTCACTTTCAGTGAGGCCATTAGTACAATTATGTAAACAGGACGTGTCTGCCACTCATTAAATAATATCACTGCCACCAAAGGGGTATAATTGTAGAGTACTTTGGGAGAATTATAGCTGTGAAAGAAAAGTTGCAGCCTGAAGCACAAATATGCAGGTTACTCAGTGAATGTGATACGGGCATTATATGTGAAGAGCACACGCTGGAGAGTATTGAATCTTACACAGACTGCCCCCAACCCTTGCCTTGGTTGTGAGGATCTATTTCTGTGCCAGTAGAAAACAAAATTAATCCTTTACCAAAATCTCTAATCAGACTAGCAGCCTTTTAGAA